ACATTTTAGGATCAGTTTGTGAATTTGTACAAAGAAACCTGCAGGGATTTTTATGAGGATTGCATTGAATTTATTGATCAATTTAGGAAGAATTTCCGTCTTAACAATATTGAGTCTTTCCATTTATTGAGAGCTTCTTTAATATCTCTCAGAAAGGTTGTGTAATTTTCAGTGTACAAATTGTGCATTTATTTGTTTAATTCCCAAGTACTTTTTCTTTTTGATGCTATTGTGAATAAAATTGTTTTCTTAACTTCATTTTTATGAACATGACTGTTATTACTAATATATAAAACTACAATTGACTTTTCTAAATTGATCTTGCATCTTGAGACCTTGATAAATTGTTTAGTAGTTCAATTAGTGTTCTTATTCATTCCTTAGGATTTTCTCCTTATAGGATAAGGTTATCTGTGAATACAATTTTTTTTTCTTGATTGCATTTCCCCAAACCTCCAGTATAATGCTGAATAAAGTAAGAGTGATAAGAATGTTGCTCCTGATCTTAGGAGAAAAGTATTCAGTTTCACCATTAAGTATTAATGTTAGCTATAGGTTTTGCACAGATGCCCTTTATCAAGTTGAGGAGGTCCCCTTCTATTATTAGTTTGTTGGGAGTTTTTATCACGAATAGATAGATGTTGGATTTTGTCAAATGGTTTTTCTGTACCATTGACATGATCATGTATTTTTGTCCTTTATTAATATAATGGATTACATTAATTTACGTATATTAAACCAACTTTGCATTCCTGGGATAAATCCCATTTGATCATGGTGTATAATCCTTCTTACATGTTGTCACATTAGATTTGCTAATATTTTGTTGAAGATCTATGTTTGTGAGGGATATCGGTCTGTTCTCCTCCTAGGATTTTTTTTTTTTTGGGTCTGGCCTTAGTATCAGCATAACTCACCTTATAGAATAAATTGGTAGTTATTTCCTCTTCCTCTACTTTCTAAAAGAATTTATAAAGAAAAAATATTTCTTCTTTAAATTTGTGATAGAATTCATCAGTAAAACAAAATGTGCCTGAGTTTTTCTTTGTGGAAAGATGATAAATTATTACTTACATTTATTTACTTGTTATGAGTCTATTCAGAGTTTCCATTTATTCTCGAGTCCATATTCCCAATTTGTGCCTTTCTGGGAATTTGTCCATTTCATCTAAATCATCTAATTTTCTGGCGTAAAATTATTCATGATCTGAATGGCGCTATTCATAATATACAATGCTTTAGTTTCTATAGAACCAGTAGTGCTATCCCTTATTTCATTTCTAATTTGGATAATTTGTATCTTCTTTCTTATTTTCTTAGTCTAGCTGGAGGTTTGGCAATTTTGTTCACGTTTTCAAAGCTCAACATTGATTTTCTCTGTTTTCTATTTCATAAATTTGCACACTAAACTTTATCATATCTTCTGCTTGCTTTGGGTTTAGTTTGCTCTTCTTTTTCTAGTTTCTAGTTATTGATTTAATACCTTTCTTCTTTTCCGATATGGGTGTTTACCACTATAAATTTTCCTCTAAGTGATACTTTAGCTGTATCCCATAAGTTTTGATGTTATGTTTTTGTTTTCATTTGGTTCAAAATATTTTTAATTTCTCTTGTGACTTCTTCTTTGCCTCATAGGCTATTTAACATATGTTATTTAATTTCCAAATGGGGCTTTCTAGATTTTTTTCTGTTGTAAATTTCGAATTTACTTCTGCTCGTGGTTAGACAACATACTTCATATGATTTCAATCTTTTTAAATTTATTGAGACTTGTTTTCTGACCTAGAATAACATTTATCCTGGAGAATGTTCCACATGTGCTTGAGAAGAATATGTATTCTGCAGTCAATGGGTAGAGTATCATATAAATGGTAGTTATGTCAAATTGGTTGACAGTGCTGTTCAAGTATCTCTATCCTTCTATAACCTTGCCTTTCTACGTAGTTGTTCTATCAACTTTTGAGAGTGCAATACTGGAATCTACAACTATCATTGTTGATTAGTCCATTTCTCCTTTCTATTCTGTCACTTTTTGCTTCATATATTTTGGCTGCTATTGTTAGGTGTGTACACCTTTATAACTGTGTACACATTTATTTTCCTAATATATTAATCCTTTTATCATTAATAAATGTCCTTATTTTTTCCTAGTAATATTTCCTGTCATAGTCTATTTTGTCTGATCTTAATACAGTCACTCCAGCTAGCTCTCTTATGGCTACTGGTTGCATGGTTATGTTTTTCCATCCTTTTACTTTCAGCCTATTTGTGTCTTTGAATCTAAGGCATAGCTCTTGTATACAGTATATAGTTGGGCCTTGCTTTTTTTATCCACTTTGACAATCTCTGATTTTTGAGGGTGGTATTTCAGTCTATTTACATTTAATGTAATTATTGATGTGGCTGCTAGCAACAAATCTTTCAATCTTTAATTGGGAATGTCTTTATTTCTCATTCATATTTGAAAGATTTTTTTTGCTGTGTATAGAGTTCCTGGTTGAAGATTTTTCTTTCATCATTTTGAATGTGTTATCCTACTGCTTTCTGGCCCCCATTGTTTTTGATGAGAAGTCATCAATTCATCTTATTTTTTTCCTACCCCTTTCCCTCTTCTTCTGGAATTCTTATTTTATATATATGTTGATGTGTCTGATGCTGTCCTACCAGTCTCTAAGCCTCTGTACATATATCTTCAATTAGAAAGAAAGAATCTTTGTTCTTTAGATTGAATAATTTCTTTTGCTCTACCTCCCAATGCACTTATTCTTTCTTCTGCCATCTCAAATCTGTTATTGAGTACCTCTAGAGAATTTTTCATTTCATTTCAGTTATTGTACTTTTCAATTCCAGAATTTCCATTTGACTCTCTTTTTTAAAACTCATTTTTATCTCTTTATTGAATTTCTGTATTCACTGAGTCTTTCCTTGAGTTCTTTAAACATTGTTTCCTTTAGATCTCTAAACATTTAAATAGCTGCATTGCAGTCTTTTTCTGCTAAGTCCTCCATTTGAAGACAGACACTCAGACACACTTCTTGTTGGTTGCTTTTTTCCCGGGCACAAATCATGCTTTCTTGTTCTCTGAATGCCTGTAATCTTTGTTGAATAGTGGGCACTTTACATAGGGTATGGTAGCAACTCTGGATTCTGACTTTTTCCCAGAGCATTGCTGTTGGTATTGTTGTTTTGCTGTTTAGTAATTTTCCTGGGCTAAGTCCATAAAATCTGTCTCCCATACATGGTATGGTTGCTGAGGTCTTTACCCCATTTTTTTCTTGTTTTTATTTTAAGCTTGCTTTCCTAGGGGGCATCCCCATATCTGCATAGCTTAGTGTTCTGGCAAAGACTAGTGAGAGGTTTTGCTCAAACACCTTGAGCCAGAAAGGCTTCTTCCCTCTGCTTCTGATTCTGTGTGTGGGCTGGGGAGCACATTCAAATTTTAGGCTGTCTTCGTGTCTGCCCCGGCTTTTACTTTCTGCTGGTTTTCTCACATCTCCTCTATGTGTGCACACAGGCTCTGTTGGCCAGAGATGTGTGGATGTCTTGGGCATGTTCCATCTCCGCTGCTCGTGCACACAGACTAAGATAAATCTCAAATATATGGAAAGCTATCAAGCCCCTGATGGCTCTCTGACCTCCCGGAATTATCTGTTAAGTCCCCAGCTAGACCACTGGTCCATTGCTTGCCCCAAAGAGGACTGTCAACTCAAGACAGTGGAGCTACTGGCTCTTCATTTACCACTGGCACAGCCACTTTAACTGAAAATACTCCAAATGGAGTATTCTGGAAGTGGCAGCAAGGCTGCTGGTTTTTATAGCCTGATCTGCTCTGGTTAAAATAGCACACTGACAGAGCTGGGGAGGACGGGATGGGAGCAGCCCTAGGCAAGAATGCCACAAACTCATGTTGTTCCTACCCAAAGTTTAGCTGTTTTCATGAACAAATGCTTCTTCATTTGTTGTAGGCCTTTGGTTAATGTTCAGAGAGCTTAAATGGATCCGTTTGGAAGTCTTTTTCCAGCTTTCTAATTGTCTTTTGGGGAGAGGATTTGTCAACTTCCTCATTCTGTCATGCTGAAAGTCAGTATGTCAACCACTCCTTACATTCTGCTGGAATTAGACTTATTAATGTTATTAAAAAGTAGACCCTGCATGTAAAATATCATTGTGAAATCTGATTTAAAAGAAAAAAGGTTTGTCTTTGTTGTTGTTGTTTTTTTTGGGGGGGGGGTGTGGAAATCAACTCACCAACAAAAAAATGACTAAAGGAACAAGTTTAAATAATTACTTCATTGGATTAAATTAATTAAGAAATGTCATTCCTTGGAAGCAGCACCCAGGGCCCTGCGACTTGACTCCTTCACAGACATTAGAGAACTGAAACGCGCCACTAGAAGGAAGCTAGTCCCAAAGCATTTCACTTAAGATCATGTGTCACACAGCTGCTTTTCTGTTTCTTCTTACTTTCCTACCTCTCTAGCTTATGCTTCAACCATGGTCAATTAGATATGCACTGGGCATTCTTATAATGGTGCCTTTTTTTTGAAGGTTTCATAAAAGTCCCCCAATCTGGCCATTTGTCTATTTTCTTTTCTCTGTCACCTCTGATAAGCTGAGATCTCTTGGGCAAGTCACTTGAGTTCCTGCCTCACAGTTCCCAGGAAGGATGATAATTACTGCCCCATGCACCCAGGAGTCTAGTCTATTAGAACTAGAGAAGCCTTAGAGGTGTTTTTGGCAACACCTCTCAGGTTCAGAAGGCTCAGGGATGTTAAGGGGCTTACCCAGGTCACCTTCCAGGGGCATCGTAAAGCTTATGTCATGCTAATAAAATAGGTAGAAGGCTTCAGAAATTGTTACCTGAACGAGTGAAGATCAGGCTCAGAGCCAGTGACTAGAAGTTATTTCATAAAGATCAAACCTGACATTACGCAGGCTTTGAGAACACTGGACACAAAGGCCTCTGAGATCATTTTTCCCATCCCTCCCTTTTCTCTTACCTTAGCAAAGAAAATCCAGGCTGCACACTGCCCTGGAGCCACAAGGCTTTTTAGCTTCACTGTGCTGAACATGAGAAAGAATCCTAAAAATCCACTGGAAGGAAAAAATATTCTTTTGTTAGTGAGGCTTATTTTCCTTTACTCAATAGGTAACTATTTTCTGTTATATTTACCAGTCAATTTCTTATTATTACACATCTATCTCATCTGTGTTTTCCAATGATCTTTGGATAAAAACACCCAAAATTTTAAAACCCATTAAGCTCTACTTTTCTAAGGTGGTATAATGAGAGCATTTTACTGGAGGTGGGTAGGAGGTATAGAAATTTGGGATGTCTCTGGCTAAATCATGAAAGAAAGAAAACAACAACAACATGGAAGTAATACCTCCTGTTTCCTCCTATATTCCCTCTGAAGCTTGGTGCTTGCTAAAATAGAGCTTCAATTTTTTCAAGAAGAACAAACCGCCAGGAAACTCACCACATGAGGGCAGAGGGTCTGGACTGGCCCATGGGTTCAAGGTAAGAATCTCAAAGGGAGGCGGGCTCCATAACAGGAGTCCCTAAACCCAGGCCGACCTACACAGAAGCTGTGCTTTGGGAATGATGTGTAATCCCATGTGTGATGCCTAAAAGAAACCCCCCCTCCCGCCACCACCACCACTAAGGGAGCCTGAGGCTGGCGTAGCATCTTAGTGGCTATTCAGAGATCTGCATCAGCAAGGCACTGACACAGCAGCGGACAGGGACATAGCGGCCTGCACTGGAACCATTTTCAGAAGTGTCACGGTGTGGTCAAGGCCAAAGCAAAGGGACTCCAAACAGAATGGTCACTCTTCCTGATATCTGGAGGCAGGACAATTGGGGAATGGAGTGTGGCAGAGAGGCTCCATGATAGAGGTTTACTTCTTGCAAACAAATGCAAGTGGGGGGCCTGAGTGTGACATTTATTTTGACTTGAAAATTGAAAAGCAAGAGACATGAAAGCAGTTGTACCCCAAACCAGAGAGGCAGGTCTTTTGCGCTGTGCCTATTTGTGCTCCTAGGGCTAGAGTGCCACTGCCATCTGACCTCTGTTATAGGCACTGGTGTGTGGCTCCAACTCAGACCATGAGCTCTGAGAAGGCAGGGCCCAATCTTGGACTTTTCTGTTTTCCCCAACAGAGCCAAGCATGGAGTCTTGGTCATAGTAGGTATGGCATGAATGTTTGACAGGCTTACTTGGAAGCAGCTTGAATTGAATTAAACACACCAAAGGCCAAATTTCACAGAAATGTGTGCCTTCACTTCATTAGATTAGATGAGTTCACAGCCACATTCTTGGGGCAGGACCAGAGATAGGCTTTAGGCTTCCCTGTGTTTATATCAACCTGTTTGGCTTGGATGACCTGCAAAGTTCACTCAGGTTTGCATCTGCAGTCATGGAAGGTCTGGCAGCTATGAATTAAGACATTGAGTCACTTCCACCTGAAAGGCAAGGAGGGCCTTGTGGATAAGTAGCAGGCTGGAAATCAAGTGACCTAGATTTCTGTTCTTGGCTGTGCTCATTGGCCCTGGTAACCTTCACCAAATCCCCCCTTTTCCATTGCTTTCTTGTCTGAGGCTCTGTGTTCTTAAAATAGGAATAAGCATAGTGTTCCACATCCTACCTTATGGAAATCAGAGATTTTCAGAACAGAAAGGTTCTCCAACCTTCGTTCTCACTTTATTAACTAGCAAACTGAGGCACAGGCACAATTATAAGCCAGGCTTCCTGGCCTTTGCAGCAGCTCTCTATGACTCTTCAAACCTCATCATAGATGTTCCTGACCAGAGACAGAGTGAGGTGCTCCAGGCGCCCATGGCTGTGAGGTTGGGAGGAGAAAGTGAGGCAGCTAGCGCTCCAGGGCTCTTCCTGGTGGCATCCATGCCGTGTCCAAGGAGGTGACAACTTCACAGGAGCCTGTCCAGTCTCCAATACCTCCTTCTCCTCCAGTCTTTTCCTCTCCTCTCCACCTCCAGCCCGAGGAAGGGCATGATTCTATGTTGACCTGTCCCCTCAGTACAGACTCTCTACTAGAACTGAGCTACTCCTGGTTTGTCACCAACATGCTTATGAAAGCATCCATGATCTGTTCCCACAGACTTGTATGTCTGTGAATCATTTCTAGATTACTCATGGATCCCTTATCTTTCTCCTTCCATTTTCAGCTCTTCTACCACTTGCTATGGAGGCAAATCTTAAAAGCAATGGGAGGATCTCAGAACTGAAAGAGCCTGGGCTCCCTGTTAATGGGGTGTCCAGGTCATGGCTACTACTGTACCCTCAGGTCTCCATAACCCCTTCTGAGCTCTCCTAGAACTTTCTGAAGGTGACAACGCTTAGTCTGAGACATGGTCATGGAGGAGCCAACAAGATGAGATGGGGAAAACCAACACATTCTTAAAAGAGGTGAAGCTTTGTACTGAAGCCAGGGGGTGAAACGTAACAGAGCTAAATCAATTCAAATAAAGATTTCCAAATCTTTCAAATAAAAAAACACTGGTTTCTCAAGTTGGGTTATGAGAAAGTTACAGATTAAATGGAGGCTGTACTGGAGACAGAATGTCACCCCACAAAGCCAACATCAACGGGCTGTGAACTGTATTGCTCTGTTCTGAATAACCAAACAATGGTTGCCTTCCCTCTACACCCTGTTTGCCTGTGCTGCCAAATAAGTGACCCAAAGGGAAACAAGTCCATGGGCAGCGAAGCAGCACTAAGACTCATACTACACAATCCCAGCTAACAGGAAAAAGCTAACCGTCAAGTGACAAAGCCTGACCAAATTGATAGGAACTGAGAAGATGAATTCTGTGAGTGTTCTCCTGAAACTTTTTTGAGGATGATAAATAAATCATTCAGAGGCTCAAATGCAGAAGCAAATGCTATAATATTGATTTTTTTTGTCCCAACACACTCACATCAAAAACAGTACCTACATATCAGCTTTTTGATTCTTCGTAAAGAATCACTGCTTCATAAGGTATAATCCTATATAGGTGGGGATAGGTGGTCTGACTTTTATGTAGCAACTGCTCATGGTTTGTTGACATTTTATTTACGGTAGACCTGAGCAGGTAATAATGGCCACCATTTACTATGCCAGGCACAATACTTAGGGCTTATATATCTTATTTAATATATACAACAACCTGGCATTGGTATTATTTTTCCATTTTACAGATGAGTAAACTAAACTAAGGCTTGGAAAAAGTAGGATAACTTGCCCAAAGACCATATAATTTGGAAGCAGCAAGGTGAGAATTCAACCCAAGTCTAGTCTTTTCATCATATCACAACACATGTTTGAGACTGTCCACAGAAGCCTCTCCATTTCTGGGCATAATAAAGTCAAGCAAAGTGGCAATTATGGCAGGAAAAGGGAAGTTGGATTGGTATGAACTTCTGTGTATCTAATTCTATCCACTGAATTGGTCTATATCCCTGAGCACTTCCTAAGTACTGCACCTCGTTGTCTAGACATCTCCTAGTAAACGGTTCCCAAAATATGTTTCTCATAGTCTTGGAGTTCAGTTGAGATAATTTAGAGGAGCAAGAGGGAAGTCAAGGTGGAAGTGGAGAGGGTAGGATGGTGGACACAAACCTTCTCTTGAACTCAATCAATTTCATCAGTTTTTTTTTTTTTAAAGTTCACGTCAGACGGGTAATGTGCCGATGTTGTAACAAGGTTTGTGGGAGGCACATCTCACACACAAGTGTGAAAACCCAATCGTCACACTTTTGAACTTTGAAAGGATCAAATTTCATCAGTTTTATATACTGAAGTTCTGTTTAAGAATTGCTTGTGGGGAAAAAAAAAAAGTGTGCGAATCTTAGCTCTACCACAAGTTTGAAAACCACTGTCCTGGATGAGGAACTCCTCATCCTGAGCACCTGAGGGTGTTCATAACAACCTGCTGATGGCCCAGGGGATGCTGCCATGCCTGCGCCCACCACCACTCTGCCACTTATTCAGATAACCAGCAGTGACCCTGGACTTCACTGAAACAGAGACACAGCTGGTAGTATAGAAACATACAAATTAATAGTGCAAGGGTTTTATGAGTTAAAATTACCTGGCACAGCAGCTGCCATGGAATCTGTAGAAATACAGGAACGGAAAGTCCAGAACGCTGAAGAGATCACCTAAGTGGCACAGCAAGAATGAAACAATGGTCCACGCATCCCGCATGCCCCCCACTGCCCTTGAAATGCAAGGTGGGGGTCTTTAGCACAGCAGCCCTCTGAGTGTGGAGCTGCCCAGCATTGAATTCACACTGGCATTCCTAGGGTTTCTATGTTATTGGCATTTTCTGATGATGATGATGATGATGATAATAATAATAAGATACTAATGCCCATTTAGTGAGAGTCTGTCCTGTGCAGGGCCCCATGCTCAAACCTTTATGTACATTCTCTTTTAATCCTTGTAACAACTCTGTGAAATTTTATTATCCCCATTTTAACCAGAACGCAGAGAGGAGATTGCACAACTCTTGGACTGTACAGCCACAATGTGGGCCCCTGTCACTCTGAACTCTAGGAGCTTTCCTCTTCACCCGGCAGCCATCCCAAAGTAAGGCACAGTGTGGGACAAAAAGAATCTTTTTCTCAAAAGATTCTTCTATTCTTCTCTGCCTTATATCTAAAAAAAGAATATGAATGCATGCCTCTGACATCTTTTTTTCATTTTTGTGTTTAATTACTGCACAAACAGCACAGCGGCCAGACCGACCATGCGTGCTCATTTTAGTTTAAGGTCCAAAGGGTACATTTATTTCTAGTGAAGTAAGTTCATTCTTTTAGTTCCACTTGGTGCAAGAGGAAATAATCACACATATTGGCTGCTTCCCTCTCTGGAATTTGAACTTGGTCACAAACAAGAAGTCAGGAGATTAAAAAAGCAGAAAGCCTTCCAAAAATGTCTGGAGAAAAGGAATTAAGCATTTCCACAGCACAGAGCTTAATCCTTCCAAATCTGGAATTTCTGAGACACGGGAGGAGCCAGGTCTTCCCGGTCCCAGCCTTGGTCTGTCTGTCAGTGCTCGACGGGCTGGAGCAAGAAGGGTTGATTTTTATGATTATTCACAGTACGTCAGGTGTGCAGTGGGATGCATGGGCAGTATTGGCTTCATCACTACACTTACTAACCAAGACTTTCAGGACAAAAGACAAATGACATGCTGTACTTCCTAGGAGACCTAACGATTTCAAATGTTTCGACCATCTAGTATTGGGAAAGAAAGTTCTGAATTCCAGTTCTTTGGTGGGTTGTTTGTTTGTTTTTAACTTATGACTGTTGTTTTGTTTCATTTGTGCCTACATGTGTGTGTCTCACTAAAAGGAGAGAAAATCGTGGGATCTGGTTTTTGTGCAGCCCAAGAAGAGGTTAAGAGTTCTTGTCCTCTTTCTGCCACATATCCACTGAACACCTTTATCATCTACTGGGAACCTATGTTGGTGGAGGGAGTTTGTAACTTACATCATTAGGCTCAGATGTCTAGTGCAGAAGAGCACCACCATCTGAAGTCCCTGTTCCCACAGCAGCAACAGCCGAGGTAACCCTAGGCATCCCCCGTTCTAGAGGGTGGCCAGAGTCCCCTGTTCAGGCAGTAAAAGGGACATTGTGGAGGATTCGCTGTCTCCTTGGCAGCTGTTGGATCTTGGCCCTTTCCCAACTTCCCTCTCAGTGTGAGAGAAACTGCAGTACCGTCAGTGTGATAATGAGGAATGGGCAGAGAAGGAGATAAATTAAATGCAGGACCTCAAGATTGCTTGGGTGCTGCCTCCTCTCAAGCACCCAGTCTTCCATCACAAACACTCCAGGGAGATGAACTAGACTCACGGTGCACGGGCAACCTTTACAGCCCAGCCCAGGCTGTGGAGGGGTCAGATGTGTGCAGAGAGGGAGGGGCATAAGGAAAAAGTCACCATCTTAGAATTGACCAGTTAGGTTATAACGCTCATACAAATCCTGAAAATCGATCCTATAAATTGTTGCGAGTGAGAGAGAATAGCTTGTTCTTATCTTTGAGCCATTTCTAAAACCTCTACACATTTTCACATAGCACTTAGCTGACTCCATGCCTAATTATCCTTCTAGAACTATCAAGTCCTTGAGAACAGGGACTCTACCTTACTCATCACCTGCATCCACTGTATTAGGACCATCCCTGACATATCATAAGCACAGCTGAACCGAGAGTATCTGAGAGATCTAAACCCCTCGTGCTTTCCCTGGAGAGAATGTTCCAAACACTTTCCAGTTGAATATGCTGGTCCTCAATTTCAAACCAACCCCAAATGCTTGCCTTCTGATGCCTTCAGCCTACCCCCTCTTTAACTAAAGGAGCGCTCTTAAACAGACAGGGTCCACACCACCCTCTAAACAGCAAAGGTTAATGATTGTGCTACAAATAGCCCTGAAGCGTTGTAGTATATGGCTGGCTGACCCTAACTACATGAGGGCTAGATCCAGGAACCTAAAAAATGTGTAAAGACACTCAAAATGCAACACTCCTGCACCATCTAATGCAGAATGCACAATTTAAGCACAGCTTAAGTGGTTCAAGAACTGTAAACATGTTTTGTGGTATCAACACACAGCTGATGCAATACAGTCTGGGTTAAGCCTTCATTCCTGTACCCCACAGTTAAAATTCTGCTGGCTCTCTGAGTGAGGGAGCAAATCCCATTTCTCTGAAGATTACAGAGCATGGAATTGCCATAGTACAAAGTGTGGCACAATCTTACCGCATTCAAGACTAATTGATATTTGAATATGAAGAAAATTTCCTCTCACCACAATTTAGCCCTCAGAACTGGCAGGAAAAAGGGAAGGTTAGTGCCAAGATATGATTAGTACTGTTTGCTTTATCTCACACACAAGCAACAGACGCACCAGGTAACACGGTCATTGCTGGGTCAGATTCTTGCGGCTCTCTTTGCTCTTCTGGTGCCTTGAGACTCTCTCTCTTAATACCACAGCAGAGGGGCTCCATAGAAATACTAAATGCAAACTTTCAAACATGAGAAGAATTTCCCTTCTTTATTACTGTTTAAAACAGTCCGAGAGGAATCAAGGTTCCCAGATTCTTAGAGCCTCCAGATGAACCATGAGGTTGAGAGATCAGAAGAGGAGATAGATTCCACCCACCAGGAAGGAAACCCAGTGCCAGAAGGGGAAACGTGGCAGGGCTTGTGCCTAGGACACGGAGAACTATAGATGTGATCCCTGCCATCACATCCCAATGCATTCCAAAGGTTATGACCCAAAGCTGTATCATCTGCATGTACAAAACAGCTTACCTTTTTACTCACTCATGAGTGAGTAAAAAGGGCAATTTAGTCAAAGCGCTACTGAGAGGCCAGGATCCACCCACTAGAATAGCTAAAGTAAGACTGACAACACCAAATGTTGGTGAAGATGTGGAGCAACTGGAACTCTCACACATTGCTGGGTAAAAGTGTAAAATAGTACAACATGTTAGAAAACTGGCACTTTCTTTAAAAGTTAAATATACATCTACTCTAAGATCCAGAAATTCTATTCCTAGGTATTTAGCCAAGAGATAGAAAAACAAAAATCCACAAAAAGTCTTGCATAAGAATGTTCACAAAAGCTTTATTCATAACAGCCCATAACCTGGAAAACAGCCCAGGTGAGCATCAACAGGTGAATAAAGAAAACGTAGTATGTTCCCATAATGAGAAGTATGTACAAACGTAGTATGTTCCCATAATGGTGGTTGCCAGAAGTGAGGGATAGGAAGTAGGTGAAATGCGTGAAGGTGGTCAAAATGTACAAACTTCCAGGTGTAAGATAAATAAGTCCTGGGGACATAATGTATAGTATGGTGACTATAGTTAACAATACTGCATTGTAGTGAGGTGTGTAAATGTGTAATCATTATGTTGTTTTATATACCCCAAACTAATAATAAAAAAGAGAAAAATACATACTGTATTGTATATTTGAAAGTTGGTAAGAGAACTCAAAAGTTCTCATCATAAAAAAGAAATCTGTAACTACATGTGGTGATGGATGTTAGCCAAACTTAGTGTGGTGACCGTTTTACAATATATACATATATCAAATCATTTATGTTGTATACCGAAAATGAATACAGTGTTAAACGTCAATTTTATTTCATCTTTTTAAAAGCCTGAACAGTCTCTTTCCACGTGGATTTTACAAGCAGCTTCCCTACTCTAGCCAAGATTGTTCTGTTACTCAACAGTCCTCATCCAGGCAGGCACTCAAGGACCAACCCCAGATCTACCAAAGATTCAGGTCAAAGGCGTTCCCCTAACAGGAGACGAAAGGAGAAACAGACACACCTATCTTTAAGGTACCTTGATATACAATTTGTAAAAGTTCTAGGAAAGCAACAAATGTGATCATGGTGACCACACACAGAGCACTTTTATAAACAGAGTGCCTTTACATTACTTAATACACATAGTAGTAGGTGTGGGATGCTCATGGGTTAGATACTGAACTTGGTGCTGGTATAGGTGGAAATCACTGGCTTTTTCTGGAAGGCTGCCACCAGTGTGTACGGAACCCCAAACCTACCTTCCCCAGGGCCTTTGCCACAGCCCTGCTGTGATGGCTGCTAAAGCCCGCAGGACTTCACTGGGGAGCCTCAGCCACTTACAGCAAGAAAAGCCAAGGTCGCCTCTGCTATTGACACCAGTGTCACAGCCAGTCTCAGCAAAATCCTTCTCAGAAGCCAACGCTCTATGCCTGGTCTCTTCTAAGATACCACCTCAGCTACCTGAAAACTGCAGCAAACCAAAGACGCAGCTGGGAATCTTTCCAGCCCAAGCCTCTCTCTGATGAACCTCACCTACCTTGAGTGATTCACCATACGATGTGATCAAAGAGAAGGAATGACAGGTAAGCATCTGATGTCCAATATCCACTCTTTTTTTTTTTGAACTTAAAATATAATTTGTAAGAAAACTGATTCTTCTTGCAAATATCTTTTTCTAACATAAATTATGCATTAAGAGAAAAGTAATTCAAGTTATCCTCATGAGACACGGGTTCGGATATGTCAAATACAATCTAGAAACATTACCAGAGTTACTACCCACAGTTCCCTAAGGATAGGAGGTCCAATAGTCTGAAGCAGCTAAAATCACCAATAGAAAGCTGTCATTGTTTTGGGCACAGCATGAGCTAGAAGGGGCTTTAGAAATAATCCAATCCACTTTTCTCATTTTCCAGGTAGGAGAACCAATACCCTGCCGGCTTGGAAAATGCCGTCTGCATAGCAAATGGTCAATAAACAATTTAAGGAGCATGGCCAATAAAACACGTATTTCCAGCCATACCACACACAGATATGACTGCTTTATCTTTGGCATCAACTGCAAAACTTTTCAAAGTAAAAACCCACAATGAAATAGTGCAATCGTGGGCAATTCCTGCATCTGAAAAACAACTATAGGATAATTGAGACAGCAACAGGTAAACATAAATTTTAAAACTTGTCTTCTTTCATCAGGAAGTAGGAAGATTAGATGATAACATGTGATAAAAATGTATAAAAAGATATCAGTTAGAAATAGAGTGGATTTGAACTTTTTCACCAAATCCTTTAGCACCAGAACCGAAGAGCAGTTCTGGCTGCTTGAAGAATGAATTAGAAGACAATGCAACCGCTAGTTTACTTGGTAGATATGAAACCTGTCTGTACATCTCAGATTGCACCAGATGAAAACATACACAACAAAGTTCGAGAAGGGATAAGAATAAATTCCTAGGCAATAACTCTATAATGGGTTATTAAAAACAGTTTCAAGTATGTGGGCCATTTCTAACACCTGAGTTTGACATCCTGGAAGGCAACCACATTCTTTTATAAAATGTCCCTTGGAGATATAATCAGGTCAGAGCACTGCACTGAATGGGCAATGTGAAACAAACAAACAAACAAACAAACAAACAAACAAACAAAATGATGTTTACCTGTGGGATGAGATGCAAATGCCAGGAGTACCACGCTGAAAAAGAAACAGCAGAGCAGTGAAGAAAGCTTCCCTGGCACTGAGAAAGCAGCATACATGTCCAACCATTCTACTTGGAAATAGTGAAACTGGCCTAAAAGTACACTGTCTGCACTGAGTGGTCTCCTTCTGCCTAAATCCACCTGCTCAGTGAGAGACTGAGAATCTCTTGAAATGCCTCAGGCTTTGGCAAGAAATCTACCCTGTGACGGACTGAGGCTCCATGCCCCACTCAGGGTCAGCCGTGCCGCCAGTGAATATCACGCTCGCCTAACCTACAGAGGATTTCGAAGCGAAACAAAGCACACTCGAAATTACAAATAGGCTGCACTCTAAAAGCTAGCTATTGAACGGGAGATAAGTTGATTTTTGCCACAAAATTAACTGCATAGAAGTCCAAGAAGGTAACCCACAAAATGATCCATCCCATCCACCATGTGCCTGAAAACTACCTGGGCTGCTTTGCAATCGATGCCAAAAAGGATGAAAAGGAGGAGGAGCAATTCTCTTATGTGGGCCGTGTTCACCCTTGGCTCCCTCCCATCTTCCTCTCTGGAAGTTTCTCCCGCCTTCCAGTGCCCATCTGGAGCAACTTCACACTTCCCCAAGCCCACCTTCTACCCTCTCCCATCACAACTCCATGCCATCCAGGCAGCTGATCCAGTTCAAGGTTAGAAATAAAACTTTTTATACAAGTATGGGAGGGAATTTCTTTTTTTAAGTGCTGGATGGCCTACTCTGATTCTTAACGCTGACTGCAAAACAGAATAGCCCGACATCTGGGCCTAAGTTAGAACCTCCGAGGGTATGGCCCAGGCATCCCTTGTTTTACCTTGTTGTGGCCCCTGGTGGTTCTAAAGTGCACCAGGACTGAGAATCATAGCAACAGCATAGTTGGTGACATAATAGACAGTGTGGAGGAGGACAGTTCTGAAGAGGGAAACCACTATTAGCTCAGTAGCTTGGCCCTGCTCTTGGGTTATTTCCTGGCACCGTGTCTGTTTTTCTCAGGCTCTTCCTTTGCTCTATCTCTAAAGCACAGGTTCTCTGATGGGAAGAGGCAGGAGGTGAGGAAGGTCAGAAGGAAGGATACAGAATAGCCACATGTCTGGCCATTCAGCAATTGTGGGTTTGTATGGCAGGGCTTACAGGTTGCTAGAGAAACCACACACGCCACTAACGAGACTAGAGGCTTTCTGTCCTTTGCTTGCCATCTCTTCTTTCTTTGATAAACACACACTCCATTCTTTTATCTCACGGGATCCCTTTTTGTTTATAACTTTAGCAGTAGAAGTTGTTGCTCCTATGACCGGATATGAGGGGCGCGTTTCCATCCCCATATCTCCCGGGGCTTGTCATGATACCCACAATCCCATCACTGGAATCACCCCAAAGAGTGGCCCTGAAATAAAATATTAGGCAGTAAAAATAAGAAGAACTAATTAAATGAAAGAGTCGGGCTCTAATCCCTGTTTAAATTTTGCAAATATAGTGTTACGCCCTCTTAATTTGTACACTGTGCCCGCCTGGGGGGCAAGCACCATATTTTATTCATCTTTGCCTAGCGGGGCCAGACATACAGTAGTGCTCCTCATGAATTGCAATGAATCACCTCTAGGTGTGTATGTGGTGGAGATATGTTTGCAAAGAAATATAACTTGAAGCCCCCAGTAGTTCTAAGATTACACATTATATGAAACTCTAATAAAGAAATTATACCAACATAAAAGGCATATCATGCAAGATAAACAGCAGACCGTTTAAATTCATTCATTCAACAAATATGTATTGAGTGCCTAGTAAGTGCCAGGTACTGTTCTAATTTGGGGAACAAAATAGGAAACATTCCTATGCTCATGGGAAATAAAATGGGGAAATACAAAAAAAATATAATCTCTACAGGCTAAACGCCAATACATTTTTCTCTATTTCACAAGTCATACCCGAGAGACTATCTGTTTCCCTTTGATACACACACACACACACACACACACACACACACACACACACACACACGAAATTTCAACTGCAAAACAAGGAGTGGGGTATGAACAGGGAACATTACAGTAATTTTCTATTTAATAGATCAAGAGAGACTAATGTCCGCTTATCTTAAAAAGAAATGGTGCTAAGCATACATCAAATAATACGCATTCCTTATAAATTACCTAAATTCCTCAGAATTCTGATCAAAGCCAGACCACTTTTAGACATTCCATCTATGTTCCCCCCCCCCATACATAACTTCTTCCTCTACTCTTTCCTTCATCCTTTCCCCTCTACCTTGAGCCTTAGACCTCTATCTATATGAGAAACACCGAAGTGTCAGGGTCAGGGAGCAAATGCCTCCTCGAGAAAACAGTAGTATGTGCCAAGGTTGAGAACCATTCAACTACTTGGCTCTCTCAAAAAAATGGAGAGATCAAATTAGTCCTCGGCCCTGGCAGGCAGAGCTCCGGGCCGGCACCTTTAAGTACAGATCTCTGAGTGCTGGTGACCTCAGTGTCCAGTGCCCATGGAACATTGAATAGCAGTCCTCGTTCTGATTCATACATCTTCCTCACTTGTACTGAAAAAAGACTTGGAAATAGAATAGTGGCTTTAGCCAAGGCTCGGTGTTGGGCTCAGCCAGGAAGCCTCCAGCACCAGAAGTGAACATGCTCACACAGGATGAAGGAGCTGGGGGGGGGTTGGGGGGACAGAGGAACTAGCTGAGGGTCACAGAGGTTCATTTACCCGTCCCCTTATCCTTCTGCTGCTCTAGTTGGCTATAAGTTCTGCGGAGAAGAAGAAATGCCTAAAGGGGTCCAATGTCATAAGAGTGTCTTGAAAAGGCAGCTGGTGAGTCTAGGCAGAGTGGAAGTAATGGTTGTGTTCAGCTGAGCACAAAAGAGGCCCACAGCCGTGCTTGGGGGTAATTCTTGTTATCAAAAAGGTCTTTTAGTAAATACTAAGGTATTTATTATGAGCTTTACCTGCAAATGGAAACTACAGCTCATGATGAACATATTTCAGCCGAGTAACTTCCTCCAGAAATCAGTGCGACCCAATGCTGAGAGGCACCTCTCCGACCTTGGTGCTCTCTACTGAATGTTGCTGCATTAGGCAAACTTAGGTTCCCGGCAGCAAATCTCCCCCTGCTTCTCAGTTAGGTCCTGCAGTACACAGTCTGAGACTACTAAAATCCAAGAATGCGCCCCAGCGATTCCAGTTAGGAATAGCTTAGGGCAAGGGCTCAAATGGAAATCCATATACCGCACTTAAATGTTATAAATCAAGCCTCCAACTTCATCCGACCTGAACAAATACATCTTCAAAACAATCTGGAAGTTCAGATTACAATGTAGAATTGTAGTAAAATGTAAAATGTAGTGGAGTCCTTGGAGCTTCATGTGAGAATGTGGCAGCATGGGGACATCCAGCGTCCTAATGTGCCCCCTTCCCTTTCCACCCCAGGATCCATCCTTCACACTCTTGTGTGTTGACACCTCAGCCTGCATGTCCACCTTCCAGTCACGTTTCTCCCACGAACAACCGTTCTTTGGACACACCCTTGGGTCTAGGAGTGACTTGGGAAACAGACCCAGGGAGGCCTTGGAATAGAGCTCCGGACCACTTGAGGAAGGAATTCTAGGCCCAAGCGAGGAGGGAGGTTGTAGGCGCTGGGGAAAAAAATATCCTCTTAGCCTTCCAGACTCCATATCGCATGGGGAGAGACATGGACTTCTAACATGTGGGGCTAGACGGGGCCCCTCTAGTCTGGTCTAAGGACAGGACTGCTATTTCGTTTCCTCAACTTCTAGCTATCTCACAAATTATTTAACTTGCCTTCCTGGCAGGCATATTGGCTCAGAACTTCCTAATCAAATTATTGGAAAATAAATATCCATTAGCTCTAGTAGGATATGAATTACTCTTTGAAAATGTAAATTATATTTTACCTGAATATATAGTTTAAGTACTGCTGGTCAATGTCACTAAGGAATGAGAGAGAAAAAAAGATAAAATGTGAAATAATAGAAGGGTTTTACATACACAAAATTGTCATTATATTATATCAATACATTATATTTATGTATGTTATTACATTTATAAATTATCAATAAATAGTATGATGCATATACTCAAAACTAGTTCCTGGCTCATTTTTTAAAAATATTTTTTAGTGTAGTGCTATCACACACGTTTTCACTTGTGGCCGATTATTTCTTATGTGTTCATTTGCCAATTTAATGGAGTGCCAATTCTCTCAGGCCACCGGACTATCTTCTAGGGCTAGCATATTTGATAAATAAAAACACAGGACACACAAATAAATCTGAATTTCAGAGAAAGAATAATGTTTTAGTATAAATATGCTCCAAATATTGCATGGGACATACTTACCCTAAAAAATTGTTTTGGGGGGCCAGCCAAGCGTCTCAGTTGGTTAACAGAGCAAGCTCTGAGCAACAGTGTTGCCTGTTAGATTCCCACATGGGCCAGTGAGCTGCGCCCGAGCTGAGCTGCCGCTGAGCTGCCAACAGGTGGCTCAGCTGGTGAGAGCATGTGCTCCTAACAACAAGATTGCCAGTTTAACTCCCACATGGGATGGTGGGCTAGACCCACCCACGACTAATGCTGAACTCGGCACCTTGAGCTGAGCAGCCACGAGTTGCCACCAGGCGACCAGATGGTGACTGGACTTGGGAGCTGAGCCAGCTGCGCCCTCCACAGCTAAGATCGAAGGACAACAACTTGGCTGTTCCCCTAAATAATAATAATAATAATGATAATGATAATAATTTTTTTCACCACTTAACTGTAACTCAAATTTAACTGGCATCCTGTATTTTATCTGACAACTCTACTGGCATTTTGTGGCATAAACACTTTATTAAAAGAACAAAAGATATTCTAGGGGCCCAAAGTCACACAACCTCAGAGGACTCATTCTCCCAGGAGTCATTCCCTTCAGACCTCTTCTCTTTAAGCCTTCAGGCCTTCAGGCAGCCCATAAGCCAGCAGCCAGCTGGCTAGTCCAGGGGCTCTGACCTCACAGCTCCAGCCCAACCAAGGCCTGAATTCTCTTTTTCATTTATAGTTGTCAAGGCTGGTCCATTGACTGCCCACAACAAAGGCCTCATTTTACCCCAGAACAGAGCTACTGCCTGGGGAGACTGCTGGGTCTTAACCTAGTTAAGCAAGAAAGGGGCTGGGGAAACAAGAGAAAAGTGTTGTACCCTTGAGCTGGAGGAAGTAAACTGTGGCCCAAAGCAGCTGGGCACATAATTTTTATAAAAACATCATCTAAATGGCTGTCCCTGAAGGAAGAGGGCAGAAACTTCCCTGCTCTTCACACATCGCTGACGGCTGGCATGTTTGGCTGGCATGTTTCGTGTCCTGGTGGACCCAGCCTGGAATGGGTCAACAGCAAGACAAAGTGCTCCTGGGCAGAGCCAGCTGCCCCCACCATAACCCAGACTTGCGGAGTCTCTGGTTGAACAGAAGCAGCTCACGACACCGTGGGTCTCACCCCTTTCCTAAACCAAACAACAACTCACCAAACTTTAAAAACTTTACCTTAATGCATTGGATTTCTGGGATTTCTGTAGTATCCGATAAGCCCCTGCAAATGAAGCAACACGTGTTATGGCACAGGACAGTCTGTGGTCAGGGGCTGCCCGAACTTCCAAGGGAAGCATAAAATCCACATGGAGAAGGACCCTTCTTCCCAGGAGGGTCCCCCACAGCCACCAGAGGGCGACCAACAACACTTTGGAGGGTTTCAAGGATGAGAATTGCATAATCCCCCTTGATAATGCCAGTTAGTACAGAGTGCTGGGTAGGAAGGCTTGTGATCAACAGAAGGATACGATTAACAGGAAGCTGTTGGTTTCCTCTGCATGGTGAGCTGGAGAAAGAGAAACACCACTGGATTTCTGAACAATGTGTAACAAAGTCAGCGCACAGTTTTTTTCCCTAGGACTATCGACAAGAAACATTCAAAGTATGATTTGAAATATAGTCAGATGGTGTTTTCATTTCACCCACTTACTTTTTTTTTTGGTATACTGATGAGAGTGTCTTTGACACAAACTTGGATCCCTTCCCACCATTTTTAGAGAAAACCAACTAGCATTCCACAAGTGGACTTGAGCAACCATAGCCTGAGCCGTGGTGAGTTAATTAACGTTTGTCACGAAAAAGAGACTACATTGGAAATGAAAACATTTGAGGAAAAGTCCAAACCAGGAAAATCAAACCAGAAAACGCCCATTTAATGTTAACTCTGACAGGTTGCATTTCATCTTCCTATTGTCCAGAGTCACTAAAAAGTGGATATACAATAAGGTCTAAATAATAAGCCTCAATTAGTTAAGTACCGTATTTGCCGGCGTATAAGACGATTTTTTGGCCCTGAAAAATATGCCTCCAAGTGGGGGGTCGTCTTATACGCCAGGTACACTTCAGATAGACTGCCCATAGTGCTTGCCCCGTGCCATAGTGGCCTCCCGATGCCCGCCCACTTCATTCCACATACCGTTCAGGCATCAGCAGCGCTGCTGGGTGTATGCTCGGCTGTGTGCGATTTTGCGAGTGTGGTAAATTCCGGTTACCGTATATTTCTTTACATATGCATTGAAGATTCGCGATTTTGCGCTATCATGGTGCCTGTTAGAATGTTGAAGAGCTCGCACTTGCGCACTAGTGAGGTCCCAGGGAGATGCTGATGCAAGGGTGGACCAGACTGCTATAGTGACAGGGCGGGCAAACAGGGAGCAGGGACCAATCAAATCAGGCTTTGTATACAGCCAACAGCCAACCACAATACTGCACCATTGTACAGTACAGCATAAAAAATGTCGACCAGTCAAACCCCTATCATCCCTATCATGGCACCAGCCAAAAGAAAGAAGTATGATGCAAATTTTAAACTGAAAGTTATAAACTTTGCTAAGGAAAATAATAATTGTGCTGCCGCAAGACAATATGGAGTAACAGAAAAGATGGTTCGGGACTGGAAATCAAATGAGAAAGCATTAAAGAGTATGCCAAGGGGTAAATGTGCATTAAGAAGAGGCACCCCACACTGGCCAGAACTCGAAAAACATGTAGCAGACATGGTGGCTCAACATCGCCAAAACGGTTATGTGGTGACACGAAATACAATACGCTTGTTTGCACTTCAGTGGGCCAAATCAAATCTGATATTGTTTTACCTTTTATTTGGTGTGTGGAAGGTGTGCGGAAGAGGGGGTAGTCTTATACGGCGAGTATATAACAAACTCTGTATTTTGAGTGGAAATGTTAGGGGGTCGTCTTATACGCCCAGTCGTCTTATACGCCGGCAAATACGGTAAGCATTCTTTTAAAACTTACCAACGCAGGATACGTGAATTAAAGCCCAGAAATATCCATCTGGATCAAACTGTAATACAGGATTTGAAAAAATAAAAAAATGGCTTTAGGTTCAGACAAACAGAAAGCAGTCTGGCAATCAGAAACCCTAAATGTTCATGCACAGTGCCAAGCAAGGGTGCCTAGACAGGACTTCTGGGGCCTTGGGTCAGTCCCTCCTCATTTTTTACCCAGTTGACATCTTCCTAACATGCTCTCTGCCTCCAGCACCTTTTTCTCCATCCCACGCTACCCTCACACTGGGCTCTAAAGGGCTAATCTGATGCAGTCACCTATTGCTTAAAATCATTCAACAGTCCCCTAGTGACTTCAGGATAAAATATAAACTTATGACACCAAGGATCTCTATGACAAGCCTCTGTCAACCCATCTATTGCCTGCTCTCCAAAGCAAGAGAACTTGCACCTCCCCAAGTGTGAATGCTTCCCCCCACTGGCTCAGCCCCTTCCTTATCTGTCTCCATCTTATTTCCTGTCTCTATCTCCACCCCCATTCGATTGTAAATTCCAGGAAGGCAGGAATTTGCATGGGAACATACACATACGTAGTAAGTGCTCAATAAAGCTAAATCCCAGAATACTTAGGACACCACCATGACTTTGCCCACACCTGCTTTCTCCTCCTGGCTAATTCTTCCTCACCCTTCAAGATTTAGGTCCAGTAAGCAGAGCCTCACTCTAGCATTAGAAAGATCTGGATTAAAATTCTAAAATCCCCATTTATTAGCTGGTGACCTTTTGGGCCTCATTATTTCTTAGCTATGAAATGGAGATAATAGTAGTCCTGCCCTTGTAGAATTGTTGTGAGATTTTAAATAAAATAAGGCACATAAAGCATTGGCACAGAGCCTGGCACACAGCAGGCTCCCTATAATCATTAGCTGTTTCTACTTCGGGAGTCCCCACATCTTCTTAGGTGTCTCACTGCACCCCATGCCTCCCGGGACGGAGCCCCAGCCTCCCTGTGTTATAATGATCTGTTTATCATCTGTTCTCCTCCTTTTTGCTCTGACTAGACTCTGACTTCTGTCTGAATGAGGGCATTTTTTCTTCTTTGTGCCCCCAGAGCCTGGCTCAGTGCCTGGCACTAAATGGGGACTTAATAAATGCTGGGGAAGAAGAGAAAGAAAAAGACTCAACCATAAAATGACTACTGGGACGCGGGGGGAGGAGAGGGTTGGGTCCTCAGTGCCTAATAAAGAAAAACAGGATAACAAAACAAAAAATCACTCTGTAGATGAGAGTAGAAAAATCAACTGTGCCTCAGTGCGTGAGGCTGAGGCCACTTGGGCGCTGGCCTCAGGGTCTCCAGACATATAGAGAGGACAGACTGCACCCACCACAGCACCCAGAGGCCAGGGCTCTAGGGGCCACACTGCTGCAGCCTTGGGGAGAAGCATTGGCCTGGCCAAAAGGCACCCAGCTCGAAAGCTTTAAATGCCTTTGCATAGGCCAGGGTTATTCTGATTCTAAAAGGAAGGACTAGGAAATTCTGCTCATATACGCAGGCTTCAGAGAGTCAAAGATACTTGGATGGCAAAACGCATTTGCCTAAACTTACGTGGGAGTCATTGAAGGGAAGGCAGCCTGCAGCGGCCAGGAGGAAGAGGGCACTGTGCAGAGGGAAATAAAACACACAGCTTCACTTTTCAAGGTCCAAGAATTTCCCAGAGAACGTGGAGGTTGAAATACATCGATTGCAGCATGGATGAAGCAAAGATCCTGTAAGACCAAGCCCAGCTCCCCTGTCCATCCTCTGAGAACCTCACTACTTATGTAGCTTTCAATTACATGCTCCACTGATAACCAGACCGCTCCTTTCTGGTGCTCAGCTAGTCATTTTCCCAGAGACAGCATTTGCGGGCCATGGGCAAAACCACAGTAGACTCACTTGAGAAAAACAGTATGCCTGTGAAACGTAATAAAGTTTTTTTAAATTACAGATCCCCAAAAATACAGTAGTGGAAAAGGGCNGTTTTTATTTAAACATGTAGCCTAGTAATACAGGAACTGGAGGATGATGTCTTCAAGTCTCCAGGGAAATCATACCAGAGTCTGAATCAGCAATGGTTCAAGAATCTATTAAAGAGTGCTGTGTTCTCGCTGTGCTACCAGATGAAACAGGTAAGAATGTTCTTTTAGAATCACATTTTGGAAATACAGAAACCCTTCATCAGAGGTCTTCAACATCTGCTAGAAAAATCACTACAACATTCTGCAATGGCTTGACAACAGCAGTAGCTGCCATATAATGACACCCTTGACACCTTTGTAGCTGAAAACCAGTGCTATCATTCCCAAGACAGAAGGCTTCAAGGGCATCATCCAACAGTTGGTGGTAATAACACATTCCCAGGAAAACATCTTGGGAGGAGAATGATTCCATCAGGTCACTTGGTGGAGTCAATACATGACATTGCCTTATATTACCCTTGATGTCCTGAATGTCATCAAAATGTCTTCCTTTCAATATTTCTTTTATCTTTGGGTAAAGAAAGAAGTCACTGGGAGCCAGATCAGGTGAGTAGGGAGGGTGTTCCAATACACTTATTTGTTCACTGGCTAAAAACTCCCTCACAGACAGTGCCGTGTGAGTTGGTGCATTGTCGTGATGCAAGAGCCATGAATTGTTGGTGAAAAGTTCAGGTCATTTTCGTCTAACTTTTTCACACAGCCTTTCGGCACTTCCAAACAGTAAACTTGGTTAACTGTTTGTCCAGTTGATACAAATTCATAATAAATAATCCCTCTAATATAAAAAAAGTTTAGCAACATCATTGCAACAAGTTCACCAACTTAATAGTCCGACCTCAGATATTAACTCATTACTTATAGAAGATGCCTAGATTTCATTTTTTGGTCCATTACTGCTGAATACAGTCCTCAAAGAGGCTTATTCCCTTTCCTCCTTTCTTCTGACTTTTCTTAGACTTTTCTCCTTCCCTCTTTACTCTTCCTCTGACTCAGAGAGGGCCACTCTCCCTTGACAAAGTTCAGCCCTAATATTACATGAACACAAGAACCCTGTGATGATACTGCTTCTCACAGAACAGAACTTAGAGCAGGAGTCAGCAAACCATGGCCTGTGGGCCAAATCCCACCTGCTGAAAACAGTGTTTTATTTGCAACAGCCACACGTGTTTGTTTATGTTCTGTCTATGGCTGCTTTCATGCTACAAAAGCAAAATTGAGTAGTTGTGACAGAGCCTATAAGGGACCACAAAGCCTAAAACACTCACTGTCTGGCTCTTGTGTGCCGACTCCTGATTTAGAATAAGGCAGCTTGGGTCTCAACTTCTGGAACTTAGAGCTGGGTTGCCCAAGGCTGCACACACCAGACAGTGTCCCCACGCTAGACACAAAGGACCCTATTACCACTAAGTTCTGTAAAGTTTTATTTTTTAGGCAGTGTCATAACTGGTTTTTCCCGTAACTCAGAATTATCACTTCCTCTCATTTCCCATTTCATTAACTGACCCGAGGTTCTCAACATGTAACCCCCAGAGCATGCTGAAATAGAAGTCCTGTCACTTTCAGTGGGGTTCTGACAAGTTCTGAAGGTCAGCAAGAGCCTCAAGAAAACTANACAGTAGACTCACTTGAGAAAAACAGTATGCCTGTGAAACGTAATAAAGTTTTTTTAAATTACAGATCCCCAAAAATACAGTAGTGGAAAAGGGCAATCAGACTACGATTATGCCACTTATGGAAAAAAACGACACCATGAGAAGCACGTTAAAATCCTTTGCGCATCACTTTAACCAAATGATCAAACTAAATGTCTCCAGTAATGGGACAGATTTACACCATGTGCCTCCTGATACGGTGTACTTTGAAAGGCACATTGTCACTCAGGTGGCAGTCCTGCCAAATATGCAGAGCCTGAACTGAATCATGAGGAAACACTGAGACAAACTCAAATTTAGGGATAGTCGACAAAACAGCGGACTTACACTCTTCAAAAATGTGAAGATAATTGGGGGCCGGCTGAGTGCCTCAGTTGGTTAATAGCTTGCTCAAGAGTGCGAGCTCTGAGCAACAGTCACTGGTTTGATTCATGGCCAGAGCTGAGCTGCCACTGAGCTGCCAACAGGTGGCAGGATGGCTTAAATAAATAAATAAATAAATAAATAAATAAATGTGAAGATGATCAATGAAAGGCAGAGCCTGACTCTTCCAGACTAAAGGATACAAAAGAGAGATGACATCTTTTGAGGAAAAAATTACTTTAAAAGGTAATATTGGGATAATTGGCCAAATTTGAACTTGAACTCAATATTAGGTATAGTATTGTATAAGATATTGACTTTCTAAGTTTAATAATTATACTGTTTATATAAGAGGTTCTTATTTTTAGGAGAAACACTTTAAAGTATTTAGGTATAGGGTCATGATCTCTTGTATACACACACACACACACACACACACACACACATATGAAGAGAGAAAGCAAATACAAAAAATGTTATCAATGGGTGAATCTAGGTAAAAGGTATATAGGAGTTCCTTGTAATGTTTCTGCAACTTTTCTGTAGGTTTAAAGCTTTTTCCCCAAATAAAAAGTTTTATTAGAAAAATCTCTTATACATACTGAAATATTTACAGATGAAATGCTATGGTGCCTGTGATTTGCTGAAGTAAGACACTGGGTAGAGACATATGTTGAAAATTGTTGAAGCTGGGTGATGGGTATACGGGGCATCATTATACTGTTGTGTTTACTTTTATATGTGTTTAGAAATTTTCATAATAAAATGGTTTTTAAAAATTCTTTTAGGAGCAGAGAATGGGGAAAGCTAGATGGAAAGATCTTTTGGTATATGAAACCCAGAAGAGACATACTAAAAACCAATTATCATTGAACCAAAAGATAACGCTAAATGGACTTTCTGATGAATGAGGGCAGCTTTCTGAAAATATCTGTGATTGGCAATGTTACTTTTTTTTTCAAGAAGGCACCGGAAAGCATAAAACCCACATTATCACATACTCTTTCCCCTTCTTTCCATTTTACAATGCAATAAAATATGTAGTGTTGGGCCTGTTCACCACGGACCATTCCATTAGCCAGCAAGCAGCAAAGAATCAAAGGCATAAACAGAATCAGTGAATACAGCATTTTCACTCTTAGGGGACTTTGTCATATGACATCTCTTACCAATATATATTCTATATACATGTGGAATTCTATGTTTCATATATACATATATAATACACAACAACCTGACATTTATAACCTAAGTACACTGACAATAGTAATACTTAATCAGCTCTGTCGACAACCCCACACCCCCACAGTCCTCACTATTGTCATCATGTGTAGTTGTGGACCCAGCAGACTAGCCTGAATGGCTCAGCCTGAGGCAGGAGGACTGGTACAGAGGGATGCTCACAGCTGAGGCCTCACAGCCTTGGGAAGGTCAGGTCGATGACTTGGGACATCCTGAGGCACAGGAAGGTTCTCCTTTCCAGCCCACCAACTTTTTTTCTCTAGCCTCACCAACTTTCAAGGAACACACACAAATGAAAGATTCCAAGGCACCAGATTGCTGAGGGATTCAGAAGCAAAGGGTGGGAGTGAGTGGAAGGAATCGTCAGGAAGGTTTTCTGTCCAGGACTGTCCAGAAATAGGCAGGTTTTAGGTGGGAGAAGAGGAGAATCGTAATGGGTTTAGTGTCTACCTACAGTGCAAAGCTTTATAGCATATAGGACACTTCCTTTCCACAGGCAATGAGTGTTCAAGATCCCTTAGACAGACAACCCCTAAGAGATGAGGGGAGATGGTGGACAGCCAGGTGTGAGACAGCCTCTGGTTTCCGGCCAAACTTGGCCTTGAGCAATATCTGATTGTATCAGGTATTAGAGGGCTTTAATGCCTCTCTTTAATACCTACTAATCTTTTAAATAACAGGATGAGTCCTGATGGTTCTTTTTTTTCAAGTAGCAGCCTGTAATAAAGGCAAAAAACAAGACTGGATGAAAGCTCAGATATACCTGAAACAAAAAATTCTAAATCTGTGTTTCAAAGCATCTCTGTTGGTTTTCTATCTACAGGCCTGAGCTTTGTATAATAGCTCCTGAAGAGGAGGTAGGGAACAGTCAGAGCATACCTGGGCACAGGGACCTGCCTGAGAGTGCAGCTGAGGGAAATGAAGCACAGAGAGTGATGACACCTGCCCATGGGCACTTTGCTGCGGTCCAGGATCACAATTCAGATCCCTGGACTCACAGGCTAGTGTTTTTTTCCACAAGGGCAATTCTTAAAAACCCAATAAACTACAATCATTATTTTTAAAATTTTATGGCTTTCCGTGTTTTCCATTTCCATTCTCCGTAAGTATTGCACAACACTTAGTAAAGTTTTGGGCATCAACAACTGAAATCTAGCACGGATTGTTTTTGCCTTAGGAATAAAATAGTTCAGAAAATGATAGTAAGTTTTAGAACAAGACACAAAATTGGGCTGAGTATTTATAATAAATTTCTCTGTCAACTCTTAGGAATGATCGTCATCAAACACTTTATCATTAAAGTTAAAAATCAGGTTAAATCTTGTATTTTAAAGGTGTTTTTTGTTTTGTTTTGTTTTTCGTTTGTTTGTTTTTTAAAAAACTTACCTACAGATCTTTGCAGAAGAAATTTTCTGTACAAAAAAAAGAAACTTACAGTTAGTCTTTAAAAACTTTTTTTTCCTAAAAGAGAATATTTATATCAAGAGGCAAAAAAAAATATATCGGAGTAAGTTTATTGGGGGCTTAACACTCTGTGGCACTTTAGTATTTATTGAGGCTTTTTCTGTTTGGACCAAATGAAGAATGACTCAGAGATTCAGAGTTGAGTCACTTCGGCAAAGCACCCGGGATATGCTGTTTTACCACTCTCACCATTAGAATTATGTTCACTCATGAAAAAAAACACAAAATGATGCCAGAGTCAAGCCTTCCAATATCTTACACACCATGAAAGTAAGAGAGAGAGAAAAATCTATGTAACCTGTGCAAGAAAAGAAATGAAACTCATGTTCAACTTCTATTTCAGTCTGTCTCTTTAAATTTTCCTTTCATTAATCCAGCTCTGACTCTCAGAGGTGCTATAAATTCTCTGGTATGATGTGTAAATTAAGAAACAGAAAAGAGGAGAATGGACATTTGATTCCACCCCTATAGAGAAGATTTTTAAAAAGGCAAGTTGAGGAAATCTAAACTTGGCACNACCACACACTACAAATGGCCAATAAACACATAAAAAGCTCTTCAACCTCCTGAATAATAAGAAAATTTTAAGACAATGATATATAAGGTTTTGCCTAAGAAACTAGGACGTTTTTAAAGTAAGTATGACTGTGAGATATAAATTGGTACCTTTCTGGAGGGTATGTATGTTAATACTTGGCTACATTCATCAAAAGCCTTAATACACGCATACTCTTTGAGGTATTTAAAGGTATGTAAGATGTTTTCATTTACAAGTGGACTAAAACTGCATTCTGGTCTTGTTATTGGTCATGAGATATGCCAGCACCTCAGGGCTTGCCGTTGCTTCCTCTGCCTGGAACCCTCTCCCTCCAAACACCTGAATGGCCCACTGTCTCATGTATTCAGATCTCTAACTCAAAAGTCATCTTATCCCTGAGTCCTTCTTACCTGCCTTATATAAAGTAACAACCCCCACCTCCACCCACTGGCGCGCACACACGTCTATCCTCTTAACCTGGCTTCCTTTTGCTCTACACTTATCGTCATGTGACACATTATACCCTTCCATTTTCATTTGTTTCTTGTCTGTCTACTTCAATTGAATGTAAGTTAGGACAAGGATTGTTGTTTGTCTGGTTCACTGGGCACCTAGAGCAATGCCTGGCTTATACAGTAGACACTCAAATATTTGTTGAATGAATCACCATGTATTACTTTTCTAATCTAAAAAAAGAAAAAGTTTTCCCTTCTCTCTCTACATTGGTACAAGGGGAAAACAACAGCAACAAAATATATCAGGAAACTCCAGTCGTAACCCTAATTCACGTTTCTTCCTCTGCTTTTCTCAAGCCCTTCAGAGACTTGGCTCAATTACTGGAGTTTATAGCTACTCAGTTTTTAAGGGCAGGAGTGAAAGCAAAAAAATCTACATCCTGCCATCTGCCTCTTTGAAATGGCCCTAATGGGGCATTCAAACAATTTCAAATTCAATAAATATTTATAACACTCATGTTACAACCTATAACTATGACAACAAAAACTAATTGCATTAAGAAACAAACAAATGTGTTTTTTTTCAATAGACATGAACTTAGAAACTTGGAATGGAGGCTATTTTGTTTTGTATAATAATTTATCTCTTTTTCTTCTTAAAAAGTCATACCGGGCTGTCCAAGTGGCGCGTTGGTTAAGAGCTGGCTTGGGACGCCAGAGGGCCTCGGTTTGGATCCCACGTATGAAGGCCAGTGACACTGTCCTCTACAGCTAAGATGCTGAACAACAGCTCAACCTGGAGCTGGACTGCTGGCGACGNAATTAAGAAACAGAAAAGAGGAGAATGGACATTTGATTCCACCCCTATAGAGAAGATTTTTAAAAAGGCAAGTTGAGGAAATCTAAACTTGGCACTTATAGCTCCCTAAAATGAAGACATTCTAATGCACACTGGCTTGATTGCCTCCTTTCTTATTAGTCAGTTTAAGGCAGTGGTTCTCAACCTGTGGGTTGCGACCCCTTTGGGGGTTGAACGACCCTTTCACAGGGGTCGCCTAAGACCATCAGAAAACAAAAAGATATTTGCATTACGATTCATAACAGTAGCAAAACTACAGTTATAGAGTAGCAACGAAAATAATTTTATGGTTGGGGGTCACCACAACATGAAGAACTGTATTAAGGGGTCGCGGCATTAGGAAGGTTGAGAAACGCTGGTTTAAGGGAATTAGTCCTTTGCACTCAGGAAGACACTTCTAGCCAGGAGAAGCACAAATTGTCCTATATTTGATAGGGGAAAGGTCAGGTGAGATAAAAGATTAATTCTGAACATTTCAAAAGGATTATTTTGTTAGTTGAGGACAAACTACAATTTTTTGACACCAGTTCAGGTAAAGGGTGAGGTATGACCATATTGTTTAAAAGGGAAGTGCTGACAGAGAAACATGTGGTTTGCTATGAAGGCAATCTTAAATTTTCACACATTACTAAATAATCCAGCATGCGTTGTTTTAATCAACAGATTCTGTTTGTGAAGAAAGCAGTGGCTGGCATCTTTACATCCTTCAATCCCTTATTTTTGTGGACCTTCCTCAGTGGAGGCCAGAGGCAGCGCCCATCTTGGCTCCACTGCCCCCTGGTGGGGACACCTATCCCTTGAGTACAGAAAGGATAACACACTCAAAAGTGACCTGGCCCACTTGGGTAATTGTCCCCATCATGAGAAAAAAAAGGTTCTGAGCTAAATATAACCAACATCTCAACAGTTTGGTAAAAGAATAGGAACAGAGAGAATAGAGATGAAAGGAATAGTTCAACCCTTCCATGAGTAACAACATGTCCATCTGGCAACTGTTTGGGGGCTTCTATTACAGGGCAGCAAACCAACCCAGGGCTTGAAAGAGTTCACCCGTTCCACAGAGGAGAGAACTCTTTTTTTAAATTTTAAACTCCTCTGACTAAAGGAGCCCAGAATCTGAAATATGCAGACTAAAAATGAGCAATAAATTCATTACTGAGCTCCACTCCCTCAAGGCTCTGAAAACACCTAAAGGGTTAATGTCAGGGCATTCACCTCTTCAGTCCCCTCAGTCCCAAATCCAGTAATAAGTCCTAATGATAGCTTAGGGTTCTAACTGGGTCAGCATGCTCCTCAAAAGTCACTGCCAAAAGTAACAATAAATGCGAGGTCAGACAATTAAGTTAGTGAACTCATCCTAGAAAAAGTGCTACATGTCTCACTGCTGAATATCACTACGGTCACCTTTGAAGTACTCCCCTTGGGAAGCTATGCACCAATGCCAGCACCTAGTCCACCCTTCAAAGCAATTTTGGAACTCTTGTTCTGGAATGGCCATCAGAGCTCTCATATTACCCTTGATGCCCCGAATGCCATCAAAATGTCTTTCTTTCAATATTTCCTTTATCTTCAGGTAAAGAAAGAAGTCATTACTGATCAGGTGAGTAGGGAGGGTGTTTCAATACAATGATTTGTTTCCTGGCTAAAAACTCCCTCACAGCCAGTGCCATGTGAGCTGGTGCATTGTCGTGATGCAAGAGCCATGAATTATTGGCGAAAAGTTCAGGTCGTCTAAGTTTTTCATGTAGTCTTTTCAGCACTTCCAAATAGTAAGCTTAGTTAACTGTTTGTCCAGTTGGTACAAATTCACAATGAATAATCAATCCCTCTGATATCAAAAAAGGTTAGCAATATCATTGCAACAAGTTCACGAACTTAATTGTCAGGCCTGATACCTAACATTACTCGGGGTTAGCTAACTTACTCTGACGGCTATTTACTCTGTGCCAGTGCTGTTCTCTACATGTATTAACTCACTCACTGAGTTTCAAGTTATTTGAGAGTCTTGGGTTAGATGCTATAGGTGAGGACAACTGAGGAGGCCCTGAGAAATAAGGTCAGTTGCCCAAGGTCACACGGGTTGGGACAAGGTGACCTAGTTCCAGAGCCTGACCCTTTATGGTGCTATTCTGCTACAACCCACCTGTCGGTACTGCCATGACACCCTGCCAGCCTTTTCAGGCTACTAGCCTTCATTTGCTCTTTCTGACTTGGGAGATGATGATCAGGATTGGGAAGACTAAGTGAGAAGCGGATTTGGAGAAACATCTCAGTTCCATTTTGATCCCTTTGCATTTCAGAGGCTCAGGAAACAGCCAGGAAGAGAACCAGAGGCCAGCAGACCACAGGGATCTGAGCTCAAGACAGAGGTCTGAGCTGCAGATGGGGACTCAGGCGTCTCCAGTGAAGGGAAGTAGCCAGCCATGGGTATGGGTGAGGTTGTCCAGAAAGCGTATGGTGTGGGAATAACAGGCTCCTGAGACAGAACCCTAGGAAACCCTGAAGGACAGATAAAGGAAAATAAGGAGATGGACAGGTGGCTGTGAAGGAAGAGCCAGAGACTCAGGAAGAGACCAGCGTGTGTGTGTGGAGGGGTGGGGATGAAGATCAAGGGGACTAAGAGAGACAAGAAAAGGGAGTGGGGGTGATGAATGGTGTAAAAGACCAAACAGAGTCCCATAAATGAAGCCACCAGTGACTTCAGTCAGAGCAATCACAGGGTAATGGTGGGGCAGAAACAGGAGGCAGCTGAAGGTGAGAGGGACATGAGGATGTGGACAGCACGGAGGCCAATCCTCTTAGGCACTGTGGTGGGGAAGGGAAGAACAAGGGGAGGTGGAGGTGCAGGGGGTGCACAGGGTGTTCGCTTTCCTGTTAAGTTTTTTTTTTTTTTAAGCTGAGCCATCCTGCCACCTGTTGGCAGCTCAGCGGCTGCTCAGCTCAGGCCGGGAATCGAACCGGTGACCCTGTTGCTCAGAGCTCGCATTCTTGAGTGAGCCCCTAACCAGCTGAGCCACTCAGCTGGCCCAAGTTTTGGTTTTATGAACACAACATTCAGAGCTGGGTTGATGTAAGTGGGTCTCCCAGGGCCTGCTCCACCCATGGTGGACTGAGAACACTGAGCATGTTGATGGGCTCAGGGAAGTAAGGCAGCACAGAGGGAGAAGTTAACTACCCTTAAAAGAGGAGGGTAAACCATGGAGCTACCTCTGAGTAGCAGGCAGGGATGACAGGGGCGCACAGGTGTGCCGTGTGGCCTTGGCCATGGGAAGGGCACCCCACTCTCCTGCATACCTGTAAGAAGTATGCTCCCTGAATGGCCCACCAGCTTCTCTCTGGTTTAAAAGTTCCAAAATTTTGATATGAAACCATTTCAAATGGGTAGATGTTAGAAAAAAGAAACTCCCGAAAAAGGGACCACATTAAAACCACCACTAATAACATTAGTAAACACAACTAACATGTACAGAGCACCTACTATGTGCCAGAAGCTGTTGGAAGCACTGAACACGTGTGCTGCGTTACATCCTCCCAACAACTCTATGAGGTGGGTGACGTTACCATCCCTTTTCACAGATGGAGGCACAGAAGTGAAGAAACTTGTTTGAAACGGTGTGAGGCCGAGCTGGGGCTGGGAATAGGGAATGTCCCCAGAGTGGGCCAGTGCTCCCCGCACCCTACGTGAAGCTGGGCCATATATGTCCACGTGGTGTAGGCATGAGCTCTGGGTGGGAATGTTTCCTCCACCAGATCCCCCAGCCGCCTCCTCCTTGTATCCAGAGACCCTGGCTCAGGCCTGGCCTGGAGTGGAGCTCCATTCAGCTGAAGAAGTATTTCCACATATGTTTGGTGAACTGAAGGGAGGTCAAAACCATGGTCCTTGAAATTCGTGACCACTGTCAGGCAGCCTTGACAGGAAACAGATGGCAGGAAAAGGTAGACACTAATTTGGGCCATTAAAACCTAATAATAATACATTTTCTTAAAAAGGTGTGTCTTTGAAATTTAAAGCGAGGGAAGTGAAACTAGCATTGTACATTATCATTTACCTCTTTCCGAAAGCACTTCTGGTGCCCACAGATAATAACTTCGGCTACATTATGCAAAGTGAGAAACACAGGAATGGCCTGAAAGAAAACAGAATAACAAGCATGAAAATATTTTCTTTGCTCTCATAATTACATAATTCTTGATTTCTGCTTAAAAATAAAGATCTGTGGGAACTTTTGGCATTCACATGTATAATCCTCTCCAGCAACAACCCTTCTGCGTGGATGAGTGTTCTTAGTGGTAGTATTATGCTTCGGAGGGTGGGTGTAGAGGCTCCCCTCCAACAGGTATTCTCATCAATACACATTTATTAAGCACCCACTGAGTGTCAGGCACTGTGCCAGGTGCAGGAGGCACATCCTGTGAACAAGGTAGACACATAATAGGGAGACTGTCCCTATCGAGGTAAGGGCTCTAGTGGAGCACACAGAAAGGTGCACATAACCATTGTGGGGAGAGCAAACCTTCTCAGAGGAAGTGAAGTCCAAAGTCTAAATGAGAACTGAATGATGAACTAGAGTGGGGCAAACAAAAAGAAAGGACATGGAGAGTGTTGCTGGCACAGCCCAGAGAAGAGCATGAACCCGGCTCCTCTGGGAACCGGGGGAGTTGAGCCGGGTGGAATATAACATTGAAGGGAAGTTGGGGAAAGGAAGATGGAGAGGTAATCACAGGCCATGTCAAGGAATCAGGACTATGCTGAAGGCCA